GAGAGAGAGAGAGAGAGAGAGAGAGAGAGAGAGAGAGAGAGAGAGAGAGAGAGAGAGGTGGTGTGAAATGTGTGTTTGCATGGACATGTTTAGTAGGGTTTTTGATGGATTACATGGGTCTTCTGTAAGTTGTGTGAGCTTATCACCACGGGAGCTTAGCAATGGTCTAGATTCCAGTCTCGGACATCTGTACGTACAGAAGAATCTGGTCCATCCTTTTTTCCCCATCCTGGCCGAAACATCAAAGGTCCGGATTCCACTTGGGGATGTCATGCTATTTTAGGCCTGACCTCTCTAGTTACCCCACGTGCAGAATTCAGGCACCCTTAGGCTTGCTGTGGGGCGCTGCCTATTCCCTCAGAACCCCAAGCGTCAGTCTCAGTGGACTCCTCCATGTACACTAAGGTGAAGAGCAAGGGAGGGAACAGTCAAGTCACGGTTGTGGTTGACATCAGACTAAGTACGTTGAATTTATCCCCCTGCCTAGCACCCCAAGGGATGTTTTCTCAAAAAAAAAAAAAAAAAAAAAAAAGAGTTTATCCCCCCCTGCCTGCAGAGGTGCTGACAGAGGTAGTCATTGAGAAGTTCCTCGCTCATTGTGTTAAACCACCAGTACATGGGGTCTCGCTGCACTACTCTCCACATGCACAAAAGACAAAAAAGATGGCAATGTATCTTTCCATGTTCTAGCGATTGATTCAGTCTCATTTTGCACATTCTGAGAATAGTGCAGCGAGGCCCATGGCCCCAGCCAAGTTGAGAATCCGATTGAGCTTCTAATAAAATTTTCGGAGGCTCGGGAAAGGGCATCTGAAGGGCCAGTAGGAAAAAAAAAAGTCCAATGCGGTAGGATGGAACTAGGCCCCAGCCCTGAAGAAAAGAAAAAATCTTCCTCCCCCCTCCCCCCCTCCCCGTCCTAATCCCCTAATTTTTCGGAGAGGCTCATTCAAACTCTTCAGATGTACTGGTGGTTTAAGGTTAAGGGTGTGATCCTCTTTAAGTATATAGTCGGTGATAGAGATGTTCGTTCGGTTCACGGTAGCGAAGCCTGGCTATCAACTGCTAATGAAAGAATGTGGGTCTCAGTTGGTTGAGTATAGTTAGGCCATACCGTAAGCGTAGGCTTTGATCCTCTTAACTGGTGGTTGAAGGTTATTAAATTTGAAACCGCCAGTACCTTTCCCATATATCGGCAGCCGGGAAAAAATAGTGTGGAAGCATTTCGACTCGACTGAATTTGGGCGCTCCGGTAGTGACCCGTTCATCCTCCGAAAGCCGCGGCCACATGTGGGAGCGACTTTTAGAGGTACTGGCGGTTTGAACTTGGACGTTCCTGGCGGCAATTGCGCGTTTTGTGAACCGAAATCGTCAGGCCGTACTGGTGGGAACCCGGTAAGGCCTGACGATTTCGGTTCAAAAAATGCCGAGATTTCGGCCAGGAACGTCCATGTTAAATGCCCAAAGGGGGTAAGTGCAGTGCACCTGTCAACGGCTAGGATGCCATCGAGTTGCGAAAAGGGATGGATGGAGACCGTGCAGACTCGTAGACGACCTGGATCCATATCAGATACAGAGACTGCCATCCGGATCTTGAGAGTTTGCAGTGATGTATGAGAAAGGGCCTTGCCCCGCTACACTCCACTCTGCATGCATTTGGACGGTTACTGGACCATGTGCATTCAGACAACTCCGACGTTTCAAATGCATCTGGTCCAGCAAGCGTCCAAATGCATTTAAAGTGTTGTGTAGTGAGCGATGCCCAAAGATATGAAGAAGATAAGACGTACCCAGCATAGCATAAGAAGCTATAACAAACATTTCGCAGTCGCAGACCATTGCGATTTGCCGTACCCAGCATAGCATAAGAAGCTATAACAAACATTTCGCAGTCGCAGACCATTGCGATTTGCCGTAGGTGGTTTCGTCTTAGTCTGGGTCAACTCTAAAGAGTTCTCACCTGAAGAAGATCTCTCTTAAAATTAAAAGCTGCTCCTTGTGTACCTGGCCGTACACGAACCTGTCCATAACAACGGCCAGGTTCTCATTGCGATTAATGAGAACCTACCCTGTATTTCATGCATCCAAGGTACCACCTTGTGTACATGATGATGAGGTATTCGACTTGATAGGCAGAGATGACCATCTTCTTATGTTATCAATATTATCAATGTGCTTGGCCGTACATGAACCTGTCCATAACAAGGCCAGGTTCTCATTGCGATTAATGAGAACCTACCCTGTATTTCATGCGTCCAAGGTACCGCCTTGTGTACATGATGACGACTTCCCCTTGCGTGGATCCATGAGTCCTCCTGATATGGATGGTAGCTGTTGATGAGGGTCCGCTCAGGAGAGGAAGAAGGGGAAGACCACGGATGCGGTACACGTGCAGGTACCAGTACCAACACACCCAGAGGACGGTAGATGGTTCGCAGAAGATGAGCTTGCTGAGACTGGCCCCAGGATAGTATTGCTCTACGACTACCGTCTTCACCCGAAAAGAACGCCCGGTAGTTATTTGCCTTATCTGGACTGAAAGTTGTACCGAATGCCAGATATAATGACCAGGCGTTCTATTCCGGTGATGACGGTAGGGTTGCGGAAGCTCTAGACTGGCCATGTAGCCTTTCTCTGCGGACCTGGAAACGAGAGGACGGTGGGAGTGAAAGGATTTCACTGCTCTCAGCGTAGTCCCAGTCCCAGTCCCAGTTCCAATTCAGTCGCATGTGTATCATATTCCTGAGTCCCGGCTAGGATCATAGTCGTCAGTAGGCCCGTGTAGCAAAATTCTGGTAGGTACCAATACTACCGATAAACTGAGGAAAATCCTGTAGAAGTTTTGGTAGGCCCTTTTGTCCGTTGGTCCGGTCAGCAGCGAAGTCCCAGGATAGTCTGTAAAGCCGCACCCGGTTTCCAGCAGGTGTTGCTCCCCTCCGATAGATTGGAGCGTCCAGCAGTAGGCTACTCAGCGGAGGTGCTCCCATCACTTCACCTAGTATACCGAGGCTTGCACCTTTCTTCAAAAAACTTGTAAAAAAAGAAAAAAGGAAAAGAAAAAAACCTCTGGAAAGTGACAAACATCGGCAGAGGTACAGTCCCATAGCTGGTAGAGGAAGTGCAGAACGCAAATCGTATCTACCTCTTGTATTACAACCAGTGTAGTAAATTGCCCCTGCCGTGGTCCCCAGGTCCCATGTACCCAGATTCTCTGTATCTGACCCCTAGATTATGAAGATTGACGGCCAGAAATGAAGAACGCTCAGCTCCCGAAATGTCAATTGGCTACCATGTCCTCAATGTTTCTTTCAAAAACAAAAACAAAAAAGAACACTCTTCCGTACGTATCCCATTAGTTTTTTTTTTTCCTTCTTTTTTTTAACCCCAAACTCCCAGTAAATATTTGCAACCGTCCCTCGGGGAAGTTTTTAAATTCGAGTTGTGCCCCTGGCTCGCTTCCGTCTTTTATGGTATGTCATTCATAACCCCTCACACCCCCGACAAATTTCCAGCAGAGTACACACCATTTTGGGAAACATTCTAATGCCTAGTCTGCTGTATTCCCCCATCTCAGGAATGAGAGGAGGAGAGGGTAGATAGGGCATCAAGCAAAAAAAAGGGGAGGGGGTTGGGGGTGGGGAGGAGTACAGAATCAAAA